CCCCCCCCCCCCCCCCCCCAACATGTTGACCTTTCCCCTGTGGTAGGATCATGTAGCTTCAAAAGTGATGAAAGGTATCTGCTCGACTACTACGACTCCAAAGCATTTCCTGGCCTGCTTAGCCTTCGCTTTCTTGGCTCGTCGGCGGCTGCGACGGGACTCATTTGGAGCATCCTCTGCGCGATGAAGAACTTTGTAGATTCGGGGGTAGGCCGAGATCCTAAACACTGAACGTCAACCCGAAGGGTCTAGATAAACTTGGAAGCAAAGGGATGTTTCAACAAAAGGCTTCGGCTAGGGGGTTCATATGCAATGGGTGAGGAATGCACCTAGCAAGTCGTGAAGCTTAGTCTGGCCTCCGGCCGGGCCCCTCCCAGTGAGGGAGCACAACGGCTCTGTGAGATGACCTTTTAAAGTCTTCAGGCAAGCTGGCTTCCATGCTTTCACTGACCAGGCAGTCTGACAACTAGAAGTGCACGCAAATCTGAGATAGCATTGTCCGAGATATCGGCTACAATGCTACAAACTCTGGAAATGCATAATTGCCGACTGCTGGTCCCAACGACAGCCAGTTTAGGCCTTAGCGCTTCGGAAGCTGATTTGAAGCTTCGCCTGCCCCAAACCCTCAGCCAGGGCCGTTTTTTGCATCCGAACTCAGCGGGTCCTGACTCTTCTTCATCTCGAACTCCTTCGCAGGCTTGAGCTAAACCGACATATCGTCAAAAACTCATCGATATGATTTCCCAGGTCACAAGGTCACTGTTGCAGAGCCGGCTAGTCTGCGCACGCACCAAATCATCAAGTATAAATGTACAAGCATACGCCTATGTATGTACACACATACATATATATATACACATACAGACAGACATATACAAATATATACATATACACATGTATATATACATATACACGTGTATATGTACATACATACATACAAACATACATACAGGCATGCATGCATAAATACATACATGCACATAAACATATTACATATCTGCATGTACATATACATCTATACATATACAAATGTACATGTATACATAAATGCATACATACATACATACATACATACATGCACATATACATATATATATATATAACATACACATACACATAAATATATATATGTATATAACCGCATGTCTGTAAATATGGCTTATACACAGAAGCATATACAGTATATACATGTACAAATATATATATATATATATATATATTCATATACATATATACATATATTCAGATATACATATAACTATATGTATATAGAGATATACATAAACATATATAGTACATACATACTTACATACATGCATGCATGCATGCATACATACATACATACATACATACGTACTGTACGTATACATATATACGGAAAAATGTAAAAAACATATATATGTATATACATATACATGTGTTTACATGAATAAATACGTATGCATAGACATATGCATGTACACACACATGTGTATGTATGTATGTATGTATGTATGTATGCATGCATGTATGCATGTATGTGCATATATATATATATATGTGCGTGCAGACAGCACATGCAGATATGTGCTTGCATACATAGATACAGGTACATGCGTGTATACCTGTGTATGTACGTAGTATGTATGTGTGTACGCATCTACATAGCACACATCCATGTACGTATGTATGTATCTGTATGTGTGTATAGGCATGTGTATGTGTGTTTGTTTGTGTGTGTACAAGTGCCTACATAGTTATGTATGTATGTTTGTTTGCTTTCATTCAGAAGCATGCATGTATGCGTGTGCACATACATGTTGATGCTGAGGATATGCTAAACACTGAATACGGACCTATGTAACATTACATTCTAGGGCTTCCGGAGTTCACAACTTGCTGAGCTAGGGCTTGCGGGCTTCGCAACAAGCCAAGGAAGCTGAACACACACACACACACACCTACCTACACCTACCTACGCAGAAGCCACTGAACAGGCGGGTGGGCAAAGATTCCAAGATCCCAGCCTTCTCGAGCTCTTCAAGACTGCGAAGCTTCTTTCCGGGCATTGCCTACAGAGACAACACGATCGATATCAAGCGGAATCTGCTGCGGTCTAGATACCTGAACTCAACGGTGCAGTGCATCCTTGGGCGTCACGCTGCAACTGCAAGGAAAAGCCAAAAGCCCTCCTTGCGAGCCCGGAGCCCCACTGGGGCCTCACTGCTGGAGGCTTTCAAAGCAGAGTGCGGGAGGCGGGAACAGTCAGTCTTCAGCTGCGAGCCCAAGTCGGATGAATGGCGCCTGGTCCCTACTAGGGTCTAGGCGAAACCCTGCTGGTAAAGCCTGGCTACCTTGAGCCCTACACCCTACGCTGCACTCCCTGAGCACTCAAATCTAGCCTCAGCTGCTCACAAGCTTGAAATTTAAACTTTAACCCCGAACGCTAGAAGCTCAAATCTTTAAAGCCCGAACTAAAAGCCCCGACTGGCAACACCCAAGAACGGAAAGCTCCTAAAGCGCTTTCAAAAATTCCCCAAAGTCCCAAGTCTTGAACCAAGAGAGCAACTCCACATGCTGGCCCAGAAACACCGAATCACAAGAGCATTGAGCTCTAACCTGAAACATCCTCAGCCCAGAGCCTACCACATCATAAAAGCCAAGAAGCCCGAGCGCATCGTAGAAATTCACCTGAACCATAAAGCCTCAGACAAAATGCCTCCACGCTGATTGACGGAAACCGACCCAAAGCCACGACCCCGCTCCGCCCATGTTGACTCGCGCTTGCAGCGTGTCACGCGACGGAGTCTCTGTCCGGCCCGCGTAGGTCTCAGTCCTGTCATGACCATGGTCTGCACTGACACATTGCAAGCATCGGATTCACGAACAGGAGGGGGGGGCCTAAACCCTGGGTTGGAGACTTGTGGGTGTGAATTGCTAGTTCGGCAGGCATGCAACGACGAGTGCCGACCTATTTCTTTGGAATATGACAACTCTAAACCCAAGTTCCTTGTACTCGCAACTTTTGGCCCTGATTCGTATCGCTGTCCTGGTCGAACGAGCAGCTAACGCCCACACTAGCATGATTGGATTGCCTCTGATCGTGTCGTTGCTGGCGCTGCTCCTCCTCCGCCTCCTAGATGACCTGTTGTTGCTGGTGCTGCTGTTGCTGTTACTGTTGCTGCCGTTGTAGCTGTGGCTCGAGCTTTTTATTCTGGCTGCTCTTGTGGTTACTGTTTCCTTCTGCTTCTGCTGCATCTGCTGCAGCAACTTTTCCTGATACCTCTGCCATTGTGGTCGAGGCTCACTGCCAGGTGCCAGCTTTTTTTTGCAGACTTCAAGCATCCATGACCGAGCATGACTACGATAGGGCTACTATGCCATTAGCTGCAATGAACCCACACCCACATGCCGAAGCTCCAGTCCGAAGCTCATATCTTCGAACCTGAAAGCCATGAGTCATAAGTCAAAAGTATGCCGGAAAACACCCCAGCAGATGGCCTCGCAATCGCACGTCATCTCTGCATGGCTTGCCTGCTCGTGGGCTTTGCTCCTACGCCTACTCCTTCTGCTGTTTCTGCTGCCGCTACGACTAATTCGACTACTGCTACCACCCACTTGTCCCTACTGTCAGGTCGGGGTGACAAGCTTCCGCTTCCGCTCCCAAATCCACAATGTACTACAATGTTATCATCTACTATGTCAAGAGCCATAATGTAAGACAATATACTATGACATGCGATGATATGCTGTAATATACTACAATAAGCGATAATGGACTAGAATATACCATAATATACTATCAAATATACTCTAACATACCATAACATACTCTGATATACGCGAATATGCCGTGGTATACTCTAGACTATCATATGCCACAAGAATCTTATATACTGTACTATAATTAATACTACACTAGAATATACTATAGCGATGCTCTGCTTCCCTCCCGCTCCTCCGCCTGCTGCCCCGAGGCCGCCCCACCAGCTCGGAGGTTCCTGGAGATTCGTAGAAGTTTTGTCCGATTTTGGGGCCCGGAAGGAGTTGAGGAGGGTTTGGGGCTCCTTTGTAAAATATACATATATATATATACACACATACATATATATATATATATATAACTGGGTATTTTGACGAAGATTCAGGAATACTATTGGTACAGTAATTATTTCAGATTTAGGCTTCTATATTCGTCGCAGAAGCCGCACCAAAACGACTTCTCATCCCACTCGGAAGAATCGCTTGCCGCCCAGGGCCTGGATCTCACCTCGGTGCTGTCACCAACCTGGCGACGGTGTGCCAAGCGAATCTGCTATGATGGTCTGCCGGCAGGCCAAAATAAGTAATCATATATATATACATACACATAATATGTACATCACCGCAGTCAAAACAACACCGTGCTCCAATTTGGTTATGCTGGCCGGGACTTCATCTACGTAAATTCTGTCTTCCGTCTGCTGCAGCCGACAACAACTGTTGAAACTGTCCGTGAGTCCATGAGTTCTTCTGTGATGCGACTGATTCCAAATTGCTTGTACCTCTCGCACCTTCTACGAATACGAGTCTACAAAATCTTCAACAGCACTTGCAAAGTCTCTTTCACCTGCGCTGCTGTTGGCTCTGGTGTGCCTGCTCGCTGGTCTTTGAGGCAAGCAGGGCCTCAGAAGGAAGGTTGAAGTCACAGCACATGTCCCCGGCCCAAACTGACAATCTTCCAGGTGATTCACAAGGTTGCTGCTGCAGCAGCGACGACTACAGCACCGGCGATGCGACAACATGCTAGCCAAAGAAACACCACACAACGCTGTTGTGCTGTCGCAGCCGTCGCTGAGATGCCGACTGCTGCTGGGGCTGCTGGAGCTGCTGGGGCGCCAGGCACGGCGCCCGGCATGGCAGCAGGCATGGCTCCGGGCATTGCACCGGGCATGGCGCCGGGCACTGCCGGCATGGCACCCGGCATGGCACCCGGCATGGCACCCGGCATGGCGCCGGGCATTGCCGGCATGGCACCGGGCATTGTGGGCATTGCACCTGGCATGGCACCTGGCATGGCACCTGGCATGGCACCTGGCATGGCACCGGGCATGGCACCGGGCATGGCACCGGGCTGCACGCCAGGCATCCCGGCCATGTTTGGCATCCCGGTGCCACCGGGCATCATGCCACCAACACTTGGCATGGATGGAAGGTTCGGGACACCAAAAGGCGGTCCCTGTGGGATATGCATAGGATCAACCTCGGCTCCATACAGCACTGAGAGGTTCTAAAGGCTTCAATCTTCGCACTTCAGCATGTGGAGAAGGCGGGAGCCTTCGAGGGTTGAAAGACGGCTGAGAAAACATCATTCGAACAGATCCAATCTGCGACCAAGCAACCACCGGCTGTAGCGACTTCGGTGCCTCCGTGAGGTTGCAGGGCAGGTGAAGCATGACGGACCCCGTCATCGTCTGCGCGGCAGGCTTCAGGCTTTGGAGAGTGCACCACTAAGAATGAAGTCTATGGGCCCGATTTTGTCTGCAGCTTAAATGTCGGGAAAAACAGTACAACATAAGAAGACCAGCGGGCCTTTCTGAATGCCGACAGCGAAGTGAATCATGCATGTGTTGCTGAGAAGTCTGAATAGGTGGAGATCGCTGCACATGAGGGGCTTGTAGCAGCGCTTCATTCGGATGCTGCGCTCCAACACCAATTGTAGCCCTCACATCATGCTAGTGCGATTATGCACACATGTTTTGCAGATTTGGGCAAGTATGATATCATTTATGGTCTGTTCTTGCGTTGCCGACAGTTCTTGCTCGGACTGTGCGCTATTGTCGCTAGCAGCTGTAACAGTAGTGCAGATCCTGACACCAGCGGAAAGCCGAACCCACCTGCTCCAGCTGACATGGGGCCAAAGGAGGTGGCGGAGTCGTTGGAGGTGGACCTTATCTAAGTCCCCTAACATGGGTGATAAGTGTAGTTACCCTACTTATAACCCTACTACCTTATATAAGTCCCCGAATATGGGTGATAAGTATAGTTACCCTACTTATAACCCTACCTACAACTACCCATAGGGCCTCCAACTACCCGCTTTTTATGGGGCCCGGGAGTTGGGCCCAGGGCTCGAAGGCTCCGGCTCCTACAGTGGGAGGCGGAGCTCGTCTTTTTTGTGAGTCCTGGAATGCCCCTCTGAGGGCCCTTAAAAAAAAAAGAACTAAGACCTTAGACCCCCTAAAACCCTAAAAACCCCTAAACCCCTACACCCCTAAACCCTAAACCCCTAAAAAAAGCCTTAGACCTTGGACCCTGCAGCAGACAGAGCCCCAGGTAGGAGCTGTGGCACCTGAAGGGCAACTAAAACGAAGGGCGCAAGCTTTGGAGAATAGTAGCGTAGCAGAGATACAGGCATCAGGACCATGATACCCAGACGCCAGGGCCCGAATATCTCATGATCGCTTCGAAGAACTACTGTGGCTTTGCTTAGAGATGCCTCGACCTGCATCTTTCGTGTTTTGAACGCTGTGAAGTTACGCACTTTCGAAGACGGCTGGCTACAGCTACAGTCACTTGCTGGATTGTGCAGGTGCCCAGACCGTCGACTCCACAGAGGGCCGAAATCCCATGAAACTCAAAAAGCCGCAACACAGGGGACTTAACCATCACAAAACGGTTATGGCGTTCGCCCTCTAAACCCTAAACCCTAAACCCTAAACTCTAAACCCTAAGCCCTAAACCCTAAACCCTAAACCCCAAACCCAAAAATGGAAAGTCCAGAACCCCCAGAGAAAGAGCGCGCAGCGCGGACCCCAGAGGGGTCTGCATTCGGAAGCTGAGAGATCGGCCCAAGGTTGGCAGATCCTTTCGGGGTTTTGGGTTTAGGGTTAAGGATTTTAGGG